ATGTATGAAATATAAATATGTGGTAAGTGTAATATTTGTTTTTTTTTTCCTTTTCATAAAAATTTACTTTTTGGTCTTATAACTCTGAATTGCATTTCAAAATCAAAGATATCTTTTCAGGAGTTACATTAAATGTAATATAATTTTGCTTTTACTGCATTAAAATGTCGGAAAACTAAAAATAAATAAATAAAAACCTGGAAAAATCTGGAAATTTAAGAGTTGAATAAAAAAAATAATATTTTTTGGCAATTTATTTTTTCCATTAGAAATATAGATGCCAGTATCCATTACACTTTAATTCAATTAAGAATTCTGCTTAATCAATAGCAAACAAAGATCCCTGTAAACTTCAGACCACCATTCTATCAGAATTCATTGCATCGTATATAAGCATCATCATAAAATTTAATCCAGTGTAAACTCACTCCCATCAGTTACACACACAATAACAAATAGCACACAATCTACAGATCAGTGAGTTGAGTCACTGATAATGCACCATCATCACTATGTATATAATAAATTTGTTATAAATAACCCAATGAGTTGAAATGTAATTATATAATCTGTAGATAAATGATGATAATCAAATAAGAATAAGAGTTATTGTCTCATATATTGTAAATGCAATTGCAGTCTTTATTTTAGACAAGACTGTCATTAGATTACACAAGGTATCCCCTAAGTCATATGCCGCCATAGACAAACTGTAATGTAATGGGGTTTGTGACAGTCCCCACAGTACTGGCTCGACAGTAACAAAATTGATTTTTGTCTCAGTAACATGCACTGAGACAACTGATTTTTGTCACCTCCCTGCTTCCAGAACAGTTGCCAATAGCATTGGCAACTCTGTACAAACTATTTATAAACAATTTTAAAGTACATTTATGGGTCTTCACTGTATTCGACTTTATTTTTTATTCATTTTCCTCCTTTTCAACATTTTTAATCTCATATTTTGCTACTGCTCTCATTTTGCAATTTGAAATCTCATTGCCTCACCCATCAAGCTGGCCTATTCCTCAGGTAATGGATTGGTCATTAAGGATCTGGAATGGCCACCATGTAGTCTCGACTCCATCACTGCTGGGGTACTTGAAGGATCTGATTTACTCATCTGAAGGACAGAATCACACAGACATGTCACTCTGTGTGATTCTGCCAACACGCAAGGTGTATGGAATGATCGGGTCATCTGTATAAACATATTTGCAATTAGGACTGCAATCACAACAAACATATTTGAACAGCTTTTCTGCTTACGGTGCATGACTTATGGGACATCCTGTATAATAAAAGACATGCAGAAATAATATTTCATCTAAGAAGCCATTTGCAGATATACAGATCCAGAAATGTCAAAGAATAAAAACAAGTTTAAACATCGTATTTACATTTTGTTTTTAACTTTAAAATGGTGTGAAATGCAGGTGGAAGAGCTATTAAAAAAAAAACTAATTTAGTGCATTAATTATTTTTTAATATAATAATTGAACATTTACATTCATATTTAGAATATAACATTTAAATTTTAAAAAAGAGAAGTGCAAAAGTGAAATACAATATATGCATAGTGTATCAAGTAGAAATAATTATATTACAGTAATACAAGTTCATAAGATATTTTATCAAACATTGAATTCAAAATTTGTAATGAAAATATCAATTTAAATTGTAAAAAGTGACATTTTTCATATTCGACAGAATTCAATCATATTAAATTCTACTTGAACACACAAGGTATGACATTTATAAAATATGCACAAAGGTTGTTCGATTTTCTCGTCTCTTCCTTTGCATTTTAACAACAACGGAATGGAAATTAGAACGGAAAAAAGGAAGATAATTTATAATTCTTTCTTTCCATTTAAAAAAAAAAATATTACTAAATTTAACAATTAAATAATAATAATAAGCAAAACTTAAAAATCATAAGTTAGGTGGGGAAAAGTAAAATTCAATCTTTTGTTAAAAGTTCAATCTCCTTAAAATTTACATAAAGTTAAATAACAAATTTACTTAGAAAACACACACTGTTAACTTACTCAAACAACACCCAAACCATATAATAGCATAAACAGAATCCTCCAATCACAATTATTCCAATAATTATACAGAAAAGTATTGGAACATGGCGTACCTAAAGACAAAAGAAATATCAATCAACAAATTATTTTAAAATATTTTTAAATCAAAGTATAATGTAAAATGTTTTATATTTTAACAAATTTAAAGATTTTTAAATTAACAGACCATAAAATTTAATTTTGAAATTAAAAAAAAAAGCACTATAATAAAAGAAATTATTAAAATTGCTTAAAAACTTATTAAAATTACTTAAAAACTGTACTATTATATGAGAAAATTTTTTTATTTGTTTACTAATTCTAGAATTTTTTAAGACTATAGAACACTACATAAATCATGATAATTTAAAATATAAATTGATACTGATTAAAATGTATGTACCATAACTTAATACTTTACACTACACTAAAATATAATTTATTTCAAGAAATATATCTTACGTCTTCTTGAAAATCTTCCCAATAAAGTTCACAAGTCAGGTAGGAACATATAGCATTTGTTAAGTCATCTGAAATGTATTAATTTTTATTAAATAAAAAATATTTTTGGAAANATCTCAGTTGATTGTTTTAGTATTTATATACATTATTGTTCCCACAGTACATTTGAAAATATACAGGGTTGTTCCAAACAATGGGAACAAACTTCCGGAGTGGATTCCTAGCAGGACAAAGAACAAAAGTGATCTGATTAACATATATCTGAATATGTACTGATATCATGAACTGCACACAAAGGACGTAATGCTGCACAGTAGTGTTATAAACATATCTCATGGAATATTATCAAAGTTTATACTTTCTGATTGCAAGTGGTCACATCACGAATCACCTCATGGTATACCATAAGATGATGCATGACCTCCTGACAATTCTAATACCGCAAAACAGTGGTGCACTCAAGATTTAATCTTGGAAGGATCTGAGTTGACCAGATAAAAAACTTTTTAATGTGAATTAAATAAAATTCCCACCTTAAGTAACCGCTAATTCATAAGTAATATAGAAATAGAACACAATATAAATAAAAAAATGAATTTTAATTAGGAAAATATTTCTGGAAAATTTACTAGTATTTCTTTTCCTTTTACTTTAGGGATGTCAGTGTCCCTTGGTCCATCCCCTGGATGCACCACTGCCTCAATGATTACATTGGGAAATGATGTATAACACGTCATTTTCCAATGTAATAATTCAAGGGCAAGCATTTTTATTTCTTCAACTCCTTAATCAAAATCAAACTGGTTAAAAATTTAAATATTGAGACAATACTTAAAGTATCTTTCCTGTGTATTTGTAATACAATTTTATTCATTTATAACAGATTATTTTTAATCAAATACTACAGTATTAGTATTTGCTTACATTCTATTTCATATATTAATAAATAAAGCTTTTCTTTCAGATAAAAATTAGCAAAATTTTTGATGTTTACTTTACTTATTTATTTTATAAATACACTGAGAAACAAATTATTAAAATAACCTGAGAAATGCACATCATTTTAATGGTGCGCCTAGAGTAACTATTAAGTTTAATAGTTACTCTAGGCGCACCATTAAAATGGATTAAACAGATTATGTGCAACGTTAAAATACATTTTTCAAAATTACCTATTTACGATTGAATACATGTTATTGAATCTTGTGAGCTTTTTAATGAAAATTTAATCACATAAAAAGAAAATATTAGTTTATATTTTATTTTTATGTGGCTAAATTTTCATAACAACATTAAATGCATTAAATTGTTTAGATATATTTAATATTCTGAAATAAAATAACTATGCCATATTAATTTAATTCTCAAATCTCAAAATCTAAGTATCTTTATGGTACCATTCTTTCAATACAAAATAAAATTATTCATGTTTAAACTGTATAGATTAAAGTTTTTATCTGTCTTTATTCAGTATTCATCTTAAACATTAAACCAAGGACCATTTTGAAATGATATTTATATTTTTAATTTTACATTTTAGTCTATTATCAGAAGATATATACTTCTAAAAAATTTTTTTTTTTTACATTTGGAAGATTCTGTGAGATGGAAGGAAGGAAGATTTAGTATAAAGCAAATCTATTTATATTTTTAATTTTACATTTTAGTCTATTATCAGAAGATATATACTTCTAAAAAATTTTTTTTTTTACATTTGGAAGATTCTGTGAGATGGAAGGAAGGAAGATTTAGTATAAAGCAAATCCATTTATGCAATTAAAACTAAAAAATACAAACTAATTGTCTTAGCAAATAAAAGTAAATATTCAAGATTATTTAAAATAGCACACAGAATGTAAAATGTCTAATACTAATAAAAAAAAACTAAACAAATGGTTATTAAATCCAAGATATGTTCAATAGAAAACCAAGAAAGTGCCATTAAAAGTTGCGAGGATGAGCAATAGCATAGTAATTTTGACAACCAAAACTTCCACGTCAGAGGCGACAATGATTGCAACTGGCAACATGTCGATGCACAAGATAAAATAACTGATAAAATAGTGACACTGCTCCAACAGTGCACAAAGCAAGAACAGTGTAGTGTTGTCCAGTTTTTGACAAAAATGAACATCTATTGGCACATGCAGATACAGTAAGCAATGCCAAGGATTGCAGTGAATGTCATGGAGAATCTTCCACAAAACTGCAGCCGTTTTTGGAACCTTAGAACTTCACTCATACACCCAGTGACAAACTTGGGATTTAATCATGGGAAAGCTGAGTTCAACAAAAAAAAAAAAAAAACAAGTTTTGAAGTGAAACCAATAAAATTTTCATCTTATGTGACTGCTAATTCATTAGTAGTATAGAAATAGATGATGCAACAAATATAAATAAATTTTAATTAGAAAAAACTTTTTGGAAAATTTTCTAATTATTTTTTCCTTTTTCTTTTGTGGTGCTAGTTCCTTTGTTTCCTTACTGTACCTGCATGTGCCAATGGATGTCAATTGGTTTTTGTCAAAAATCAGACAGGATTACACTGCTGGAGAGGTGCTGCCATTTTATCGATCTGTTGCCAGTTGCAGTTACTGTTGCCTCTGACTTTGAAGTTTCATGTGTCAGAATTACTATGCTATTGCTCATTCTCCCAACTTTTAAAGGCATTTTTCCAGTTTTCTATTGAATGTGCCTTGTATTTTCGAACTGTAGATTACTACTTTTAAATAAGCTCATGATTTATACAACTATTTTTGTATTCTTTATGTCAAACTACAATCTGAGTATTTATAATGCTTACCAATTAAATGTAATCTATTATTATATATAATCTAACTCCTATTGCCCTGAAAACTTTTTATCATTTAAAACTGTTAATCTTACCAGGAACTGTCCATTAATTATGTATACAGTTTAAAGGGGGAGGAGAATCACAAAAAGTGCATCATTGTACACAATGCAAGGGAGAGAGAGTCAAGACATTGTCTACATAGACTTTTTTTAGTGATATTTTAGTGACATACAAATTTATTCATATAAGCCTATTGACTAGTCATGTGAATAAACTATCAGTCAGAAAATATTTGCTGAACTAAATCATTCCTTCAACATTGGGGATTCATGAACTATTGTATATGTAACTAAAGGGGAAGGGGTTTTCCAAAAGTACATCATTGTACACAATAGGGAGAGAAGAAGTCAGAAATGACTCAAAAAATGTACACACAATTAATGAACAGCACGTTAAGATTAAATTTAAACATTTTTTCGGTAAATTTATTGTAAAAAAAATTTACCAATTCTGGAAATATGTTAACAGCATTTAGAAAAAAATAAAAATAAATATAACTACAGTCGACCCCCCTATAACACTGTTATTTTTTCCATTTTATATGAATTCCATGTTGTACGAGTCACTTAGATTTTACAAATACGTGTGCCGGACTGTGAAGGGTTCATGTATTTGTAAAATCTAAGTGACTCATACAACATGGAATTCATATAAAATGGAAAAATCAACAGTGTTATAGGGGGGGTCGACTGTATTATAACAATAACATAAACATTCTACATATGATAATTAAAGAAAAAATGTTAAATCTCTTACTCATGTTCTAAATTATCTTTCCTTAATTTTAACATATATAGTGAGTATTGTATATTTTAATTTTAAAACAATAAAAAGTTCTAATAATTTATGAATCGAACAAACAATATGTATAACATACAGCCATAACATTAATGTTATTCATAAACAACAAACAAGATAAAAATACATATATAAAAATTTCGTAAATCACATATACCACACATATATATAAGAAATAAAACTACATGTACCATATAAAATACATCTATTACAAGTGCCATAATTCAAAATTATTTGTTTTAAATTAAATAAAATTATTCTATAAATTGATCAAATGTCTCTTTCAACTTAATTATAATCTTTGATTTAATATTTGTTATTTTAAATAATGAAACTTCAAATATTATGTTATATAACAAGTAAATACATTCAACATTTTTTCAATTTTGAATCCATCTATATAATATATCTAGAGTACAATTTTTTATATATATATATATATACACAGTACAAATTTATAATTTTGTTCTATTAAAGCTTGCTGAGTAAAAAAAGTGTTTAAGGCAAAAGGGCAATTAGTTAATTTGACAGTGTCGACTTCTCATTTCAGTATAAAATGGAAATTCTAGTTGAAAAAGTTTACATGGTAAGATAAAAGTATTTCTCTTTAAATGAAGTATAATTTAAAACATAAAATGGAAAATATTTCTGTGTTTGAAATAAATATTTGATAATTAAATAGAATTTTATAAAATTTGTACTGTTAAAGTAAACAAAAAAAAAAAAAAGACTAATTTTAAATGAAAAATTAGAAATAAATACAACTAAAATAATTTTAAAACTTTTTAGTTGTACCATGATTCAATGAGACATTTCTCTTTTTGTAACATTATGGACGTAATTCATTTGAAAGCACAAATTACTTTATGGTAGTTTCTTCTTTCCATCCATTCCCTTTCCTGTAATTCTATGGTAATTACTGTAAGGAACATAAGTTCCTGAATGATTGTTATAAATGAGATTGTTTACATGCAAACCATTACAGCATACATTTGGGTGATGAGGAGATCTAGAAAAAAAAAAAAGATAATCACTCATTTTATGTAACAAAAAAATATTTTTATAAAAAAAACAGGAAATTACAAAAAAAATTTTATGGTATTCCTCACTGAGAAAATTACTGTAATATTTATTCTATATTATAGAAAAACTCTAACTACTGCATTTTCACATGTATAATCTGCAGAAAATTACTAGAACAAAAATAAAATCTTTACATAATCCTTCTTACTGTATACCAACAGGAGCAGCCATTGCTCCATACACTTCAGTTCATAATTGCAATAAATTAGTAACATACAGATATCCAGATTATATGAAGAACCATTTAAAGAAAGAAAAAAAGAATATTGTTTCTATTTGGATCTTGATTTTCATTTGATAAAGTGCTCCATTAAAGAATTGAGCTGTACCCTAGTGACTAGTACATCACCTTCATTAGAAGTATAGTTACTTAAATGCTTTCATTGATTATTTGATATCTCATAAACATTTTTTTGGTTTCTTAGGAGAGATTATCATCCCCTTGAAATTAATCTTGACTGATTAAACGAAATAATATTTGCATGAAAAAGGACCAAAAAAATCCTTAGATAACAACAACTTAATCATTTCAATGTAATACAGTCAAATCCCTTTACAGCAATATTTACCAGAACAAGAAAAAATATTGTTGTAGACAGATTTATTGTTATAGGGACTATATAAGTTTTTAAAAAGTCTCCCCTTTCTCATTTAACATTGTCAACATTATTTCTATAAAGTCAGATAACGTTAGAACAGAAAACCTTAGTATTATTTAACCCCTTTAGAAGATTTAAGTGATTTTGCATATTATTTCTACAGTATAACTTAAACATCAAAATCCAAAATCAATCAGAACTTGAATCCTAGGCAAAAAAATCTTCCTAGTTTAAATAAGTAAAACTAAAAATAATTATATTTTAGAATTTCTTGAATAATAGTGCTTTTTGTAATTAATATAATAAACTCATTTAAAATTCAATAAAGCTCTCTTCAAAAGTGTAGAGATGTCTTAGTGTTGCAAATTACACTAATTCTAAAACAAAAAGAGGTTTTGTTACAAATACTTTTACTTAGTACGATCGGTTTCTGCTTAATTTCAAGATTTTACTGTAACTTACAGGTTTACTATAATTTATAATTTCTTGAAAAAACTGGAAAGGATAGAATCAAACCCAAAAAAGTACAAAATAGTTTAGAAAAAGTTAAAACTTATTTCCTTAAAAGTTATCAAAAAATTATGCTCAAAAGCTTATTTCAGCCTAACAAAGAAAAAAATGTTAATTAATTGTAAGCACTGAACAAAAACTTTAGATGCTAAACTATCAAAAAAACCCCCATGTAAATCTATCAACCCTGCTCATCAATACTGATGACTACTAACTGCAGATAATGTCCACGGCAGAATTGCTGTATTAATATAGCACATTTTAATTCTAAAATCAAGTGGTAAATCAATAATGCAGTAAATTTAATTTTAATTTTATAGTTGTAGAAAAAGGAAAATACTGTGTACTTTACAGATACAGTATAGAAAAAAATGTATTGCTAGACATAGATTTATCACATTAGAAGGATATTGTTCAAATCAGAGAAAGTTTCATGTTAAGCTAATACACACTGCAGAGCAAACTACATTCATTATGGAGATATTCATTGTTATATCAATACTTGCTGCACCAAAATTCAACTGTTTAATTTTATTACTATATAAAGGTTTTATATGTTAAAAAAAATAATAATAATAAGCAAAACTTAAAAATCATAAGTTAGGTGGGGAAAAGTAAAATTCAATCTTTTGTTAAAAGTTCAATCTCCTTAAAATTTACATAAAGTTAAATAACAAATTTACTTAGAAAACACACACTGTTAACTTACTCAAACAACACCCAAACCATATAATAGCATAAACAGAATCCTCCAATCACAATTATTCCAATAATTATACAGAAAAGTATTGGAACATGGCGTACCTAAAGACAAAAGAAATATCAATCAACAAATTATTTTAAAATATTTTTAAATCAAAGTATAATGTAAAATGTTTTATATTTTAACAAATTTAAAGATTTTTAAATTAACAGACCATAAAATTTAATTTTGAAATTAAAAAAAAAAGCACTATAATAAAAGAAATTATTAAAATTGCTTAAAAACTTATTAAAATTACTTAAAAACTGTACTATTATATGAGAAAATTTTTTTATTTGTTTACTAATTCTAGAATTTTTTAAGACTATAGAACACTACATAAATCATGATAATTTAAAATATAAATTGATACTGATTAAAATGTATGTACCATAACTTAATACTTTACACTACACTAAAATATAATTTATTTCAAGAAATATATCTTACGTCTTCTTGAAAATCTTCCCAATAAAGTTCACAAGTCAGGTAGGAACATATAGCATTTGTTAAGTCATCTGAAATGTATTAATTTTTATTAAATAAAAAATATTTTGTGAAAATATTATGGTTTTCATTACGTACTTCTTAAATTTGCATATTAGCTGTTAACATTATCATTACTAGAGAGTATTAGTTATAATATTAACACAAAACTTGTTTATTTAACTTTCTTAACTGACTGTACATCATTTAATCATTAATTTTATTTTATTATTTAGATGATAAAATTTTGATTTAAATAACATTCTAAACTTTTTAAAATTAATATATTTTAAAATATAGATTAAGGAATATTAACATATATTTCAAAATACAAAATCTGTGAAAATTTAAATGTTATGTAATAATTTAATTAAAATTCCAGATTTAAATAAATTTTCTTAATATCAATTTAATTTTGTAAAATGTACTATTATATGAAACAAATATAAATTAATGTACAAAATATAAATATGAATAAATATAATAATATAAAATAAATATTTTACCTTCAATATCTTGGAAATCTTTCAGAGAAAGAGTTGTTAACAAACCAATAATGCACTGTCGGATTATGCCCTATAATTATAAAAGTGTTAATCCTCAAATACATTTTACATAAAACATATGAAATTTTAAAAAATTTCCAATGATTTCATATTATTGAGATGCTAATAATTATTCTTAATATTTGTCTATACAGTATATAAAAGTCAAATACTATACATATTTATATACCTATTAAAATAGAGAGAAAAGCTTTGTCTATTTTCTGATACTAATGGCAACAAAACAATAACAACAACAATAGTAAAACATTTAAAAGCCTAATATTGTTCTTATTGAGTGACATTTACAGAGCCAAATAATAAGATATTCTATAGAATTTGAATATTCAATTTCAAATTTTCATTACACTATCTTCCAGTTAATATGAAAAATTAAGACTAAAACCAAAAAATTTTTTATGATGAGTTAAACAAGCACAAGCTTAAGAAAAATTTTTTCTTAATCTCAATTTTTAATGTCTCCATTTCTCTTTGAACTGTTTTGCTATATAATAAATATACATACATACATACATACTGGAGAGAAACTGTTGTAAACAGAGAAACATAAAATGGTTGTCCAAGTGGTAAGGTTCCAAATGGCCCAAGCACCATGGATATATATATATATCATGGATATTTTATTTAATATATACAATTAAATAAAATTTTTTCAAATATCACATTCATATTCACATTCTGTTTTCTATAAGTTGCAAAGTACATCATTTGATAATAAAGTATTACTGTATAAATTACTAGATTAATAATTTTATTGCATCATAAGTGCTTTAAAGTTACAAAAAAAAAAATTACAGTTTAGAAGCACAAACATAATATCCTTAATATTTCATCATTTGTCTATTTTGTAAACTAGATATTCAAGCTATTTAAAATTTAACAATCTCAGCAGGGGAAAAAAGCTGCATATGAATTACTTATGAATTTAGTTTACTTTCTTAAAACATACTGTATTGACATTTTAAAATATATTGTATGAAGGCAAAGTTTTGAAAGTGAAAAATATTAAAAATAGAAATTGTCAGAATTATATAAAATCTAAATTAAAATTTGCTTCTTTACCTTACATTTGTTCTGTAAATTTTGAAGTTTTTGTTCATCACAGGATTCTGATGACTGGAAGGATTTGTTTTCTTTTTTCAATTTATTTTCCATATTTTCATCTATACTATGGCCTAATAACTTTTTATTTCTGTTGTACAAGACGCTCAGTACATCACATCGCATAATGTCACAGAAATTTGCAAGGCACACAGCATCTTCTGCCTTTAAAACAAATACTCTGAATTATTAAATTTAATTAATAATATTAATTAAAAATTTTTAAATCTATAATCATATTTGCTATAAAAAAAAACTTCATTATTNTATTATACTCAATGTATAATTTAACACATTCAAAAGATTAACATAAAACAAATCTCTCAACATCTTAAACGGTAAGTAAAATAAGTCTAAGTATTTCAAGTAATATATATTTTCGAAATTAATACATTTATACAATAAATTTTTACAACAGTTTTCATTATTATTGTATATAATAAAGAACTTTAATTAAAATTACTAAAAATTTAAATATTATGTATTCAAAATGCATTTTGAATACATAATAATCAAAGCTAATCTAAAAACTAATTTATTAAAGTATGCTTCACTGTAAAGCACATGGTGCTGTGCAGTGAAACATGTTTTACAGGCGCTTTAATAAATAAATAAATAATACACGATAAAAATTCGTAAAGTTATCACAAGACATTAATTTCAATGGAATGTATCGTTTCAACATACCTCTATACAAAAATACATTTATCTTTTCTAATCTTCTAAATTTCACATTTTGTTCTAATTGCGAAATGGCGACCGCCTTTAGTTTGTTCATTAGCGACATCTGTCGTTGGAGTTTCCAACTAGAATCCAATCTTCTTTATTTATTTAATAAATAAAGAGAATTATACAGATTATATACAAATTTTAAATATATATATATATACATATATTAAATATTAATAATTAGTACATATTGAACGATTATTATTATTAATATGATAGCGATTATGACTATTAGTCTGAATCGCTATTACATTTTTATATTATTTAATTAATTTAAACTATAAAACAAATTATATAATTAATTTCCTTAAAGAAACTATCGCGAATAACGTGTTATTGAATACTTTTAACTCGTGAGCATAATTCAGAATATTAGAAAGTATATGAAAAAGTAGCGCGACGAATCTTCTAATGCATATCAATCTCTTAGCTTTTAAATGATATAAAATATAATAAAACGTTTTATTTTACATTAAATTAATTGATAAACTGATTATTAATAATTTTATAAATTGAAAATTTCTCAATAATTTTTATTTTTATAATTAAACTTTAAAATGAGCGGTTTATAACGAGATCGCTTGTTAATATTAATGATCTTATTTGACGTAAAGTATTATCAGTAGATTATATGGACGAAAAAATTAAAAGATAACGAATATTTTTCATAAAAATCCATTAGCAAAATTTAATTTAAACTAAATTTGTTGTTAAAAATTGGATCTAATTTTATTTAATTGATATTTTATTATAAAATGGAAACTTTTCTCACCAGAGGTCCAACAGTCGAACGCATCGTAATCAAATAGAAAAACTATTAAGTCACGTGATTAGTTGCTTATTTTCCCGAATGATACTGTACTTTCATCCCCCCGAATAAAAATTTCTTCTCATACTATGAACTTAACAATGATGTAAATATACATAATAGTCGATAGGATTTTTTTTTTTTATATACTCACAACATAATAGTTTCTTAAATTAATTCAATTAATATAATAGTATATAATGATACCGCTTCCATTTTAAAGTACTTAATATCTTATTTAGTTCCTCTATTTAACTTATAACACGAATACAAACATATTTCTTGTGGGGGAGAGATGTTTTCATCCGCTTTCTTGACGGACATTGTGATGGTATGACGTATACATCACGTGATGAAACGTCAGCGGATCACAATTTCTTCAGAACGGACGTAAGTCACTCGTCACTTTTTTTATTGTTTTCATTAAGATTTTTATACATTTTAAAATCATTAAATTATATCTTCAAAAAAACAGATATTTATTTAGAAATTATTTTATAAAATTATTTCTTATAATAGAAATTTAAGTAAATAATTCTACACACATCATACGTCATTTGGAATCGTAAAAAAAGACATTTTTAATGAGTGGGGTCCATTTAAGTGACTCGTGAGAAGTGTTGTCTACATGATTTAAGTTCCTAGAGCATTAAAAAAAGTAACATTTTATGACACGGATATAAATCTTGTCAAGCACTAATTTACACGTATTCATTAAAAACTGTCAATACGACCGGGTTCAATGTTACTTCTCTAAACTACCAGCAGGTAAAAAAAAGTCGCATAAATTATTTACTATTAATTAATATTCGATTGTATACTACAAATTTCGAAATTATTCTTAAATTTAATTAACTTCTACTAATTTTTTTAACATAAATTTGCTTATAAATATTCTATTTAAAAAAAACATTAATATATATTCCCATAAATCAGACGATGTAATTATTTTGAATGGATTACGTAAATAAGTTACATAATGCAACTAGGATCAATTATTTTTTTATTATTTTTTTTTTCTTTCGAAACTTTTAATGTGATGGTCTAGGCTTACATTCTATAATTGAGATCAAATTAATCGAAATTTCCTTTTTTCTCTCTGCAAATTTAATGAAACTTTAATTGCACTTCGCTTTGTAAAAAGAAAAATAAAATAAAAATAAAAACGAGTCCTGGTTAAAATTATTGCTTGGGAAGAGCTAATTTTAATAAGCTAAATTTCACGTATGTTAGTAGTAGTAATGTGTACATACGTGATGATCGGTATTTGTTTCTTAAAGGCACAATTGAGGATATTTATTTATTTTATTTTAATCAAAAATACATCTAATAATGTCCCACTTCTCTTCTTCCCATTTTCTTATGAAAGTGGGAATTTTAATATACTTATTTAAACGAAATAAATGGATAAGAATCTAACGATAACCTTGAAGTACAACTTTTATTCTAACTCGTTATAGAGTTTTCTAGTTAATTTTCGATTATTTAATTAAATTTCTTGTTATCAGAAATAGCTGGATCTACATCTCAACATATGCAATCTATTTGTTTTTTAAAACTATTTGCTATTATTAAATTATAATGCATATTGTCCTGCTATAATTTTAGAAATAGTATATATATATATAACACTTAAACAAATACTACTTTTTAAATATATATTTGTGTAAAAAATTATGTATATTTTAATTCTGCTATTATTACCATATTTAACAGTAGAGTAACTAGGGAAAGTATAGGAAGCTCCTGTCCCCCTTACCTTTGTAAATAAAGAAATGAAGAAAAAAAGTTAAATAAGTACAGGAAAAAGATTTGAACGCGAGAGACACAAGTACAATATCTAAGAGTTTACGTTTTATCCACAGTAGTTGCTACATCCCCAAAGGCACAGGGGATGTATACAGTACAATAGGTAGGGACGAATTCGAGTCTTCCTCCTAATATCTACTGATATGTAATGCAACGATTAAGACAATTAAATTAAAATTTCGCATACACAGTAATTAATATTTAGTTTCAGCGAGTAACTAAACTACAATTATAATTCTAACTACATATTTTTAGATTTTTGTAAAAGCAAAATTCTATAGTAATCTATGCTATAAAATGTTTGAACTCGTTTACTAATATTTCTGATAGGAATAACAGAAGAAATTTTATATTGCATTTTTAATTTCTCGTTATTTATTTCGTCGGTAGTTGTTTTAAAGTGCAATTAAATTGAAAAAAAAAATAGCTAGGCTGAAAATATCCGTAATTCAATAGACAATTATTTTATTGTAGATCTATATGAAATATTAATTACTGAATTATAATCGTTGGAAGGATATAGCCAACTGATTTATTTCTTCGTACAAGTACATTTATTATTCTTTCACAGAGTAGATTAAAGAACCATTAAGACGATTCATCAATTTTTAATCATTCTTTCCCAGATATTTTCGATTAATATTTACCAAAATAGCTATACCGTAATACTCTGCATTTATTTATAACCCTTTTTGAGAGTGTAGAAGTATGGTATTATTTTAAAAGAATACAAAATACAGTATTATATTTAAACTTAACCCGTAATTTTACTTTAGCTTAATTTTACGAATTAAATAGTAAACTAAATAAATTTTACGTTAATTCTAAATTACACGGGATGGAAATCGATTTTAAATTACCATTTCTTTATTGGACTTATTAATGCGTTAATATTTGAAACATAAGCTCTTATTAAAAAATATAGGGGGAAAAAAGGCGATTTTATACAGCAGATAAGATACAACATATCAACTTGCAAGTGTATCATCAAACTTCAGAGACAATAACTCATCTTACTTTATCTAAAGTTGCTTCTCCGTACCGAACTCCCGACTGTCGGACATAGTCATCAATTTTAAAGGCAATTATCTGTTTAAAACCGACAGATACAGTCCGAGGACACTCTTCTGAACATACATTATTCATGCTAAAAATGCAGATGCACTACAAGGGAAAGATGGATGACACCAATAACTGATTGTTTTCTGGAGTACTAAATGCAACTAAAAGAATACAATTTTTAACTTATAAGGAGTAAAGTGTCACATCACATGTTCTACTCACTTGTTCACAATGACATTGAAGACTGAATAAACCAGACAAGCTTTCTTTATATGAAATACAATGAAGGTATTATATAGAAATTACTCTATTGTGAGGCGGTGGTAATTTATAAACATTACAAGATAAATTGCAATTTTATAAAAACAAATATTAATATTACACAAGTCATACTGAATATTATCCAAACATTTTTTACATGAAAATTAGAATATTAAAAATAATTGCATGTAANAGTGACCAATATAACACATTTTAAAATTTCTTTAAATTGTGTACAGTAGAGATATAAAGAATTTTTAAAATGTGTTATATTGGTCACTTGCTATGACAAACCCTTGCATAAGGTAACCTTTGTAGTTATATAAATCAAATACTATAATATAACAAACATTAAAACAAAAACCATATAAGACCACAATTTTGTTGATCAAGAAGACAGCAATTGAAAATATGATATCTTAAAATTTTTAAAGTATCTTATTTTTTCTAATGTTAGTACTAACAAACTGTTCCATTCACAGCCAAATAT